TGTTAAAGGTATCCGTGTGTATTGGTGGGTACTGTGTTGTTGTGTGGATGTGTGTGCTGGTGGGTACTGTGTTAATGTATTTGTTGTACGCTTTCAATTTGCTAATGTTGTTTACTCGGCTTGTTACACTTCACTAGTTTGTAGTTGTTGGAGCGTTAACCATGCCAGGAACGTTCATGTTTATGTTGTTGACGTTGTTGATGTTTATGTTGTTGATGTTTATGTTGTTGTTGAGATTTATGTTAATGTATATGTTGTTTGCGTTGTTGTTGTTTATGTTCATGTTGTTGTATATGTTGTTCTTTTATTTGTTGTTGATGTTCATGTTGTTGCATATGTTGTTTTTGTATATAATGTTGCTGTTGTTTGCGTTGTTGTTGTTTATGTTTACGTTGTTGTTTATGTTTATGTCGTTTAAAAAAACAAAACAAACAAACCTGATGTCGTAACGTCGGTACGAGAGTCGCAAGCAAAATTTGTAGTAGGATGGCAATCGCCAGGAGCAAGGCATACTGAAATTTAAGAAAAAGAATTATTTTCAGAGTAACATTACTTCAAAATTACTTCATAAAGTATCAAAATTTCAGTAAAAAATACTTAATAAATAAAATACTTTAAGGACGTAATCCTATATATATATATATGTGTGTGTGTGTGTGTGTATATATATATATATATATATATATATATATATATATATATATATATGTATATTAGATTTATTTTAGGATAGGTTTAGTTTTATTGTTTAATGATATTTTCCGTGTATGTGACTAAACGTGCTTGAATTCACGCATCACATAGAGTACGTGATAAGTGGGATTTACCTCGCATTCGAATCTGGTCACTGCGACACCGCAGCCAAACGCCTTAGCCACTATGCCAGGAAAGGGTAGAAGAAATACAATTGATACTAACAAAAGCAAGAAAGCAGACGCTGTCGGTGCAAGCGCCACAACAGCCGAGAAAGCAAACGGTTACCACAAAACCGCCGACTCCGATTAATACAATTGATAGTCGGTCGGTTATTATCATGGGGCCTTTGTGATGGATTGAATGAATGAATGATTGAATGAACGAATGAATGAATGAATGAATGAATGAATGAATGAATGAACGAACGAACGAACGAACGAACGAACGAACGAACGAACGAACGAACGAACGAACGAATGAATGAATGAATGAATGAATGAATGAATGAATGAATGAATGAATGAAAAGATAGATAGAAGAAAGGTTAAATGAATGATTGAATGAATGAGTGAGTGAATGAAACAAAGGAGAAAATAAACGTTTCATGGATAGTTGGATGGAGGAGTGGAAAGATTGATAGATAGGATGGATGTATAGATGGATGGACGATAATAAACAATAAAAAATTCAGTAAAAACTGAAAAATGAAAAATAAACTTCTACTTTTTACTGGGGAGAAAAAAATTCAGTGAGAATTTGAAACGAACCAGTTGGATTGTCTTTGAACAAGGCAGCATAGAGAAAAGATTCTCGGTAGACGTGCAACCACACTCCTAGGCCAAACAGCACCCAGCCTGACACCTGGTGAGGAGAAAAATTATTTATTTTCATTTTCTTAAAAAAAGTATTTATGATCTTTTTAATCTTTTTTGAATCACCTATTTAATGATATATTGATTTACGGTTATGATTATTTGTATAGGAGAGCTTGGAGCACATTAGCTGTGTTTACGTGTGTTTGTGTGTGGCCCCCAAACGCGATGGCTTGCCGGTGGTGATCTGGGGGCTGAACTCCCCAGTTCTACAAAATGCCACCAAAGGCTTGTAGCATGCGCGCTACCACCATCGAAGTCCTACTCCTTCTTGCACGTGGCGGGGGGTGCTACTAACTAACAGGAGAGGGCGAAGGCGAGTTACTGGCGCCTAAACCAGGTTCCGGGCGGATGGCGCTCGTAAGGAAATACCATCTAGGAGAAGGAAAACTCTGATTTCAAACCTCCGCAGCCTTGCGGTTATACCCACGCTTGAAAAAGGCCTGGGAGTAAACCCAGTTAAAAATCTAGCTAGGATAGTTGGCTACGAGGATAAAACTGCACCGCAGTTTCATCCAAACTTCTGCGTCCACACTGGTCGCTCGGCGTGTCTCAACTCGTTGTGCCTGCTGATACCGACCCCTGTGGAGGAGAGAGTGTAGCATGCCGCACAAACATGCTCCACTTAAATCAACCAGTGTGAAGGTGGTCTTGGTGGTCTGATGCTTGAATGGATGTGCAAACAAAGTCTTGCGGCGATTGGCGAGTGGCGACGGGCACAGGCAAAGGGTACTACTGGCAGTGTCTAGTCACAACTCAACACACAGGCGGTCTTGGTATGATGGTCGTTTGTTGCTGATGGCTACAGCAATTTTTGTATCCTGCCAGGGTGACAAAGCAGCCCTATTCAGGGATGCACTTCTTTCTCCAACCGGAGAGGGGACTAAAAAATCTGTCCTTAAAAAAGCTAGCCAATATGTTGCCGACCTTGTCAGCCTACCGCGGCTGACTGGGTATCCTATTATGCGGTCAAAAGAAAAGAAAAATTTTAAATTTGGTTTCATGGAACGTCCGGACAATGTTGGGTCTTGGGAAGAATGTTGGGTCAAACGAACACTCACCCATAAACATACATATAAATATACAAATACACACAAACAAACACTCCCACATACATATACACACACATATAAACATAGAAACACATACAAACACATACAAACATACACACATACAAACAAGCTCACCCAGACTCACTTTTAATTTGAAAATATTTTTTAGCCTTTCGAAAAGAAGCCTTGTGAAATTGCATTGAATCAGCATTATACAAAAAAAATCATCATTTCCAAAGAGTTTTATGGGTAAAAACATAAAAAAACATCACAAAAAATACCAGAAATACATTAATACAAAACATACAAAACTCCAATAATACAAAAAAAACAATGCAAACATACTAAAATAGAAAAACAAACAAATAAACCAACAATACGAAAATAGGGACAAACACAAAAGTAGTAAAAACAAAAATACAAAATATATACCAAAAAAACAAACACAAACATACAAAAAATACATCAATACAATACCATGTTTGTTCCCTGGTGTTTTGAGACTTGCCAACAATGGCTGTAATGCTATTTTTTCAGAGGTTTTTATATAATATCCTCAAATGAAATAACATTTTCCTTCGTTCCAGTACACCGGAATTATTAAGAAAATAAATAAGTTTTTAAAATGAATGGATTGAATGAGGATTTGAATGAAGAATATTTGTCCTATTGTTGTTGAGTTAGCTGAAAGGATTAATTTTGATAGTGAGCGTTTTGGGTTTTTTCCTCGTTCCTTCATTCTTTTGTCCATTTTTTCATTCTTTTACTTGTTTTTTTTTATTTATTCATTTATCCATTTATTCGTTCAATTATTCATCCATTTATTCATTCATTCATTCGTTCGTTCGTTTGTTCGTTCGTATGTTAATATATTTATTCAAACATTTTTCCATCTTTTAATTCATCCAACTATTCATCCATCCAACTCTTCACTCACTCCTTCATCTTTTCAATCTCTCTCTCTCTCTCTCTCTCTCTCACTCACTCACTCACTCACTCACTCACTCATCCATCCACACACACGCACTTCAGCACGTACTCACGTCACACACCATCTTCATTTAACACTTTTTTCTCTCTCTTCCTCCACACAGCCAACCAAGCTGGCATGTTGTACCGTACAGCGTACATACATACATACATACATACATACATACATACATACATACATACATACAAATATACATATATACATGTATACATACATACATACATACAAACATACATACATACATGCATACATACATACATACATACATACATACATACATACATACATACATACATACATACATACATACATATAGCGTACATACATACGTCGTACGCTTGCATGTGTTCTACAGTATACCTACCTAAATACATACATACGTACATACATACATACAAAAAAAATACATACGAAACGAAACGAAACGAAACGAACGAAACGAAATTTCATTAGCTTCTCAATATTCAAAAATAATAAGAAAGCAGGAAGACCATAATAGAATTTGTATAGAAATTCATCTTACATACATACATACATACATACATACATACATACATACATACATACATACATACATACATATATACAAAATGAACAAATGTCTCAATGTCTCAGAAGAGTGAAATTAGCATGTAACAATAGAGTTTAAAACATTTTAAAATTTTCTGTTGTTTATTTTTGTATTGTATTGTATATTTTTAGGTAGTTTGCACTTTTTGTACTGTTTGCTAACAAACAATTTTTGTTTTGTATGCAAACATAGTGGGTTTTTTTGTCCATTGTATACAATCAATATTTGTTTGTTTGCTGATAAAATTTTTAAACATGTTTGTGTTTGTGCGTTCGTGTGCGTGCGTGTGCGTGTGCGTACAAGTGTTTGTATGTGTTTGTAAACTCGTGTGTGAATATACAAATCATATTAATATGTCTATATTGGATGTTTTTTTGTCATTCATGTCCGCTGTGTTGGCATTAAGAAAAGCCATCGCGTTTGTTTGTTGACCAACACATAAGTAATTCTTGTTTATGAGAATATGTATGTATGTATGTATGTATGTATGTATGTATGTATGTATGTATGTATGTATGTATGTATGTATGTATGGATGGATGGATGGATGTATGTATGAATGTATGTGTGTGTGTGTGTGTGTGTAAATGTATGTATGTATGTATGTATGATGTCATGGCGGCGAGGTCACTTGTAGTGAATGAATTACTTTATTTTCTAGAAAATAATTGGAATTCGGTTCAAAATGATTCGTTCATTGATAATGTTTCTGAATTTTATACTCATGACGATATTACTTCAGCAACGAAAGTTCTAAAAAACGAAATTTATACGTTTAAAGCGGATAAAATTGAAAAACCGCGCCAGCACGTGGAAATATGAAGTCTGACAAATTATTAGAATGTATTTGGTTAATGAGATATTTAAAGGATAACAACTTATGGAACAATTGCCCGATTTTTGTTAGTGCTAAATTGGATAAAATTCCTAAAAGTGAAAATTTTTTAATGATAAATTTCGGAAAAATAAGTTGTGAAATAATGTCTACACTAAGTAAACAACAGTTATTGTTAGACAAAGCTATTGAAACTACTGCTGCCAATACTTTTGAAATAAACTTGTTAAAATCTAAATTTAATTTAAATAATGAATGTAAAGTCGTTGAACGTGAAAAAACACAACAAACAGCTTTAAATAATATTAATTTAAAAGATGAAAACAAAAATGTTGATTTTGAAAGAACACAGCAAGCAATTTTGAATAAACCTCTCTGGTCTGAAATTCTTAAGTCGCCGAGAACTGAAAACGAGGAATCATTTACAACTGCTAACCACAATAAACCCAGGAGTTTCATTTTTGGCAATAACACGAAGGACGGTGGTAATATGCCTCTCTTAGCAGCGACCAAATATGACGTACCCACAAAAAAACCACGAGTGAAAATTATTGGCAAAAAAGTGGTTGAAAATAGTACATTTAAAGCGGACAAACCTCTCATTTAAAAAAAGGTATTTTGTCTCAGTAACATCAAAAGTTACCATAAAAATGATGTCGTTGACTACCTGTCTTCCAATGGTATTAACGTTATATCCTGTTTTCCTGTGCAAAAATCAGTCAACAAGAATTCATCAGTTTCAGCAAATTCGAACGAAGGCGACAATTTAAATAATCACAAGTCTGTTGAAAATAGAGAAGAAAAAGAAGCAACAACTTTTAGAGTTTGCATTGCCAGCTCAGATGCAGAGAAGATAAAGGATCCTGAAATCATGCCAGAGCATGTAATAGTTCGTGAATGGCAATTTGATAAGAAAAGGGAAATTTTTCGTGAAAAAACTAACCTTAATGAAAAAAACTTGTACAGTATTGGGTTCTGTCAAAACATTAGTAACTAAAAATGACACACATGGAAATAAATATGAAAAAGTTACCGATGGTAATGTTATTTTTGTGAGTGATGGTGGGTTGCATGATGATAATGTTGCGGTTGCTACTGTTGGGGACGGAGGCTTTGATCTGGTTTGTGAGTCTACTATGGTGCATGATGTTGCGAAGTATACTTGTGATTTTCCAATGAATGACATGCTTGGAAATATGAATGGAAAAAACTTAAGTTCTAATAAAAATTTGGTGAATATTGTTAGAACTGATAACTTTTTTAATACTAATAATGATGAAACATTAGGATTTGACGCTGTGGATATTAAAGCAAATGATGTTTACAAATGTACAGTGAATACTAGTAGTGTGACTGGTGCTGTTGATGCTTCGGCTGTTGGCGAGGTTGTTGTGGGTGATGTTTGTAGTGTGGTGGATTTGAGTGGTAATGCTGTGAATGATGTTTGTAGTGTGATCGATATGAGTGGTGATGTTATGGGTGACGTTTGGAGTGGGGTTGAAATGAGTGATGATGTCGTGAGGGATGTTCGTAGTGGGGTTGATATGAGTGAAATTGTCGTGAATAATATTGATGATAATATTAATGATGAAATTGATATATATGGTCATGAAGATATTGAGTTTGGTGTACAAAATAATGACGACGATGATGTTAATGATAAGATTCTGAATAATTTTTATGACATTGACGTGGATTTAAATTATGATTTTAGATTTTTAAATTCCTTATCAAATTATTATTCAACTATTGAATTTAATAACCTAATTTGTCATAAATCTGATATTCATTATGTAAATGTTATACATTTAAACTGTCGCAGTTTTGCCGCGCATTTAAATGATATATCTTTATTCATATATGGCATGCGTATCCTACCAGCAATTATAGCCTTGAGTGAAACGTGTTTTACAAACAATGAAATTAATAATAGTACGCACATTCAATTTCCAGAGTATATATTTGTATGCAACAACAGAATAAATAAGAAAGGTGGTGGTACAGGATTTTTAATAAACAGAACTATTATTTATTCTAACTTACACAATAGCATTTTATACTCGTCTGATTTTTTTGAATGGTCGGGCATTACAACCAATATAAATGGTAACAAGCATTACTTCTTATGCGTTTACAAACCACCTGATGCAAAACACCATAAATGAATTTATTTTGTCGCTTTCTGACTTTTTATTCAACACATTAAAGCCTGCGAGCAAATCCAAACTATATATTTTGGGGGATTTTAATATAAATCTGGCAGTTAACAATGCTTATTCACGAAACTTTATCAATAGTATGGCTGGTCTGGGATTGTTTTTTTTAATCAACCAACCTACAAGAATTACTGATTCAAGCTCTACTGTCATTGACAGTATCTTAACTAATGACAACTGTAGTTTGATAAAAGGTATAATTTGTGAGGATATCACTGATCATATGCCTATTTTCCGCATAAAAATAATAAATGTAATAATAAATGTAGTAAACGTCCCTTGATCCATACCAGATTAACTGATGAAAAGAATATCCAAGAGGCCAATAGTATGCTGTCTGGCATAAAGTGGCCTGAACTCCAAGACTCTATTGATTTGAATATTGATTATGATAATTTTTTTAGAATTTATATGAGCTGTATAGACGTTGCTTGTCCCATGATAAGTCGTAGGGACCGCTTTAGGAAGCCATGGATGAATATAAAATTATATAACTGTTCCATCCATAAAAACACTCTATATAAAAAATATTTATTAAATCTTTAAAAACGGCTGATAATAAAAAGACATATACTATGCATAGAAATCATTTTACAAAAATTAAAAGAACACAAGGAAAACAATTTTTTGAAAATAAGTTCCAAAGTTGTAAAACCATTAAAGAAAAATGGAATACAATCAATAATATTGTCAAACCATGTACTAATAAATCTCATCCCCTTCAAGGGAAACTTGATTTGACGGGAAAAATAGAAACTGTTGACAGCATCGATAAATTTTTTGTTGAAATGGGGCAAAGATTAATTGATGGCTCTACAAACGCTGATTATGTATCACCAAGCAATGCTTGCTATCCAGCATTCCAGATGTATGACTCAACTCCAGATGAAATTATTTTAATTACTAATAAGATCAAATTAAAAAATAGTTATGACTTAAACTCTCTCTCCTCAAAAATAATAAAAAACACTATCCACTATATTGCATCTCCACTTTCAGAATTATTTAATAAATCTATAAAAATCGGAAAATTTCCAAATAAATTGAAGTCAGCCAAAGTTTTGCCTATCTTCAAAAGCGGTAACCCTAACCAATTTGAAAATTATAGACCCATCTCAATTTTACCTGTTTTTTCCAAAATTTTTGAAAATTAATGTTTAACCGAATGTGGAAATTTTTAATTAAATTTAATATTATTAACAAAAATCAGTTTGGCTTTATTCCTAAATCGTCATCTGAGCGAGCAGTTGCAGAGTTGAACCGGTCTTTACTTAACGGCTTTGAATCCAAATCTTTTACATTGGGTATTTTCATTGATTTGAAAAAGGCGTTCGACGTTATAAATCATAAAATTTTGCTATCAAAGTTGAAAAATTACGGATTTCGAGATGTTGCTTCTAGATGGCTAACGTCATATTTATGTGATCGTACACAGCTTGTGTCGATGGATGGTATTGAGTCAGCTCCATGGACCATCCAGACAGGTGTGCCCCAAGGATCGATACTGGGGCCGTTGTTGTTTATTTTATTTGTCAACGACATTTTTGAGGTGTCCCGTCATTGCACTTCAATTCTTTTTGCGGATGACACCAATGTATTTTTGACTGATAAGGATCCAGTAGTTTTATTTAATTCAATGAACGAAAAACTTAAAAAATATAATAAATACTTCAAATTAACTAATATGATATTGAACTTACATAAATCATGTTATATAATCTTTGGTCCTAAAATTAGGACTAATAATAAACTTTTTGACAACTATTCCATAAAAATTGGCGACACCACATTACCACGCGTTTATTCAACTAAATTCTTAGGAATCACAATTCAAAGTGATTTGACTTGGAATCA